AACTTCATGATGTCATCCTTAGGGAAAATGCCCAAATAGCTGAAGTTATGAAGGTTAAATTTGAGAATGCCAAGGTGCTACTTATATAGTATAACTCAAGCCTTCAGGATATTTATAGTATAGTGAAATTTATATAAAAAATAAATGTGTGTTTATAAGCAAATCATCAAGTAGGTTCAATTCATCTTGTTTTTGATTTTGTTTGGGTAATTCTAATTGCCAAATAAATGTTGATTCTAGATCTTGTCTCTTGCTCTGCCAAATTTCATGCTGACTTTTAAACACACTATTCAAAGAATGACTCTTATGATATATTAAGGGTCATTTCTGCTATGAACCTATGTGGGGATTTAAGAGAATGTGTATGTGAGAGAGAAAGAGTGTGTCTAGTCTTATATAAATATGAGGGAAAGAGGAACCTTTTGGTGGGAACTTTAAGGGAAAAAAGACTCAAGGTGACTAGCTTGATCCAAAAAAAAGTGGGTGGTGGGGAGCCATGCACTAAACAGAAGAGATTTTGAATATAGCATGGTGCTTATCCTTTTTATATGGTTCATAATGACTTGTCTGGGTCCTAGGAAAAGGGGCTATTGAAGCAGTGCTGATTTATGTTTTGGTTTTTGACCCATCTGTGTATCCATTTGACAAATATTCGAGTTCCTACTCTGCTAGTCGCTGTGTTGGATGCCTGAAATGCAGCTGTGAACAAAGATAGGGTCCCAAATGGAGAGAAGGACGGTTTCACCTCCTCCTCCCTCATACTGAGTTTGTACCCTGGATGCATGAGAGCATTGTCTAAGCATCAGTAGCTAAAGACAGCCTTATGGCTGTTGCTAGGATTAGAGAACTTCAGGGATTTGGAAAATGGGCCAGAGTGACCTTCCTGGGCCTGAAGTGTACCAATACAGGTTCGAGAACAAAATAGAAATTAGGGTTTACTTAAAAAGTAAGAAGGTAAGAGATATTGCAAGTCTTTAGGAATGTCCTGCATTGAAAGTTAATAAATATCAGTTGGGAGATATTGGCAATTTGATTAGAAATTGTGAGGTCTTGTGCCCATCAAAGCTTCTGGCCTAATATATTTTGGTAATTTGATATGTATGTATGTCATAGTTAAGTGGAAACAAATTTATATTTAAATACTGTGTTGAGGGAAAAGCTGATTACTACTTGTTAGTATGAAGAATGTACAGGTATTTTAAAAGTTACTTGTTACGAATTTTTTAAATATATAGAAAAGAGAAAATGTTAACTGTGTTACACTATCATCTAGATTTAGCAGTTAACATTTTCCTGTTTTTGCTTTGTTTCTTTTTCTAAGTTATTTTAAAGTAATTTAAAAGATGTCATGATATTTTGTTACTAAATACTTTGGTATTCATCTATAAAAAGATAGATTTATTTTTGTATATGTTAAAAGAAAATTTTCCACAGATAGTTTACTGATCGAGGAGACTTTTATTCAACTATTCATGGATCAGGCAGCATCCAGTCCCAGCAGATAGGAGCTCCAAAGATTTGTGCAAGGTGAGAGATTTTTTGCAGACTAAAGTGAGCAGGAACAAGGAAGTTAGACTGGTTGGCCTTACTTGATTGGTTAAAGAAGGGTTACTTTCCTTGGAGCACAGGAAAGTCTTAGAGCGGGGTCAGGTAGCTTGTGTTGAGTGGGCAGGCACTGACTGGTTGACCTAGACGTCTTTCCTGGGAGAGCCTAGCATATAACCTTAGTTCTAAATGTTGGTTTTGCTGATGTGGGACTTAGGATGAGCGAGTCCATCTTGGGCTTAATCTGGTTACTTTAACAAATATGATCATTTAACTTTTATCATCCTTAAAACACGTACAAAGAGTGATTTAATACGTCTAGCCAATTTTTATAAGTGGTTTGTTTGAGCCATAAAAGTAAATATGGCAAGTACGTCACATTTGGTCACGTCTCAAGTATGTTTTAGGTTAGAATAGTATTCATTTTTTTTCATGCCATTGAAATGTTGAAAAAACATTTTTGATTGTTTGTCTTGTTCACTCGATTTAGGTTAAGCAGGTTTTGACAGCTACAGTCTATGTATAATATTTATTACTCCAGTATTAGTGATGAATGACAAGACCTTGATTTAAACATTTTTTGGTGCTGACTTTTCTTAGGTGAAAAGTGTGAGGACAGTGGTCTGGAGGCTAAAAAGGTTTAGGAATATTTAAAATGCTAAAAGAAAGAAAACTTCCGGTAATGTTTTGCTTTTGATATTCAGGAAGTCAAGCCTGTGTGCTTCTCGGTTAAAGCTGCTAAGCAGTCAGTGGGTGGCACTGTTTCTTCTGGTTCAGAAAAAGAAAAATGCAAGTATTGGGGGTTTTCACGAACCATTACTTAAAATGTGTCAATAAATAACTGATTTTCATATTGTTTGACTGAATATTTCCTCCCCCCTCTACATTTCTGAAAAGTAAATGTAGAAGAAATGGTTTTATCCCTCCTACTTGTGCTTCATTACTTTCCCTTTTCCAGCTGAGCCTTCTGTAAGCATACATTAGTTGGTATTTTCTGGAGCAGATAGAAACTTTTGCAGGGCTTGTGTTTACAGGATAGTTAGCAGTATTCCTTCCCAAATTCCTGTGGTTTCTTTTTTCTTTGTCTGTCTCCCTCCTTTCCCCTTTGGGCTCAAATAGTGCAATTGCTTCTTTACTCTGTCCCTGTTTGTGTAGAGCCCTTCTGTAGGCTAACTAAAAGAATTATGAATTGGAGCTGTAGTAGATGCCTAGTGTCCTTAACTAGGTGCTTAGCTGCAGAACTGGAATATGAAACAAAGGAGAATATTAAATAAATTTTTCTTCATACTGCTGTTTTTTCCTTGATTTCTGTCACAGGTGCTGTATACTTTCATTCAGCAATACCTGCTGTATGCCAAACTAATACCTGCTACATTCCCAACTTGTTACCCGCTCTTTGTATCTATGGTCCTAAAGTAGTACTTTCATACTGTTACTTCTCAGGTCCAAAAAGAGGGAAGAATTAATAGATCAAGGTGTAACTCTGCCATTGTTATTTGTAAATGTTACTACACTATTTATTCATTTATTTTTTTAAGAAATGGGGGTGAATATTTCAAACATTGATGAAAGTTGCTTAAGGTGGAATGGAGTAGAACCTTTGATTATTTGAAAGTTTTAGAATCGCATGTTTTAGAATCAAATTATAAATAGAGGATGATTTTATGGACTAAAGTAGAATTTTAATTACTTTGATTCCACCATGATGAAATACTTTTATCCAGCTCTTGTGACAATAAGAAGCTTTGATAACAGTATTTAGAGATGCTCTGTGATATATTTTGTTCTTTGATTTGGGAATGAGTGAGGAGGTTTTTATGTTTAGTATGTATACAGTAATTTACATTGTGTATATGTAGGTAATGAAATTCTTAAAGGGATATTCTCCTGGTAACCAAATTAGTGCTTGAAAAAATTATAACAGTTAAGATAGTTTTGCCCTTTTTCTATCATTATTATAAAATGCCTTTAAAATATGTCTGATGTGATTTCAAAATATTACGCTGATGATTTACTATGGCAAATTCTCCCTTATTATTACCCTTCTTAAGCTGATACCAGGTTCCATTTTGACAACTCTGTTTCTCAAGCTTAATCTTACTTTTAATTGAGAAACTAGGGAATGATTACCATTTTTTTAAAAAAATTGAGTCTGGCCTGTAGTGGTAGATGAGGATATTGAGAATTGGATAAAAGACTCTATGACTATTATGACTGAGTGAATTTTATGTATAAAAAAAACTCAGAAAAACATTCACTTTATATTAGCTGTATCTTGCATAGGTATTGTATGCAAATAATAGAATAGAAGGACACATTTTTCTATTGCATCCACATTAAGAGCAGTATTGACCTTGATTGGCATATGGGAAAATTTCCCTTTTGGTAGTCATGGTAAGAAAATTTTGCTATTATTGAATTATTATATAATTTTTTTTTTTTGATGGAGGTAATGGAGATTGAACCCAGGACCTTACACATGCTAACCACACACTTACCACTGAGCTACATCCCGGTCCCTATATAATTTTTGGAGAACAGGGTTTACTGTATCAATTCCGAATGCATAGGATAGTATCTATTTAAATCTGTTTATGTTTTTGTATTTAAAAGTCTAAATAGATTTTACTTATATGAATAATGCTAATGCTATTTATTTTACTAAATTACTGTGTAATTGGTAATAACTGTTTTAAGAAGCATTAGAACATAGAGTTTAAAAATGCAGGCTCTGGTGGATGGGAGATACAGCTCAGTGGTAGAGTGCATCCTTGGTGTGCATGAGGTCCTGGGTTCAATACCCAATGTTTCTCTTCATTAAGGGGGGAAAAATGCAGGATTTGAACACTTTCCCTTGTTTAAATCTTTTTCTCCCTATTAGTAATTATGCTTGTTTGCTCTTGTACAAATTGCTTAACCTCTCTATGCCTCAGTTTTCTTACTGTGAAAGGGAAATAGCAATAATATCTAGCTTTTGGATTGTGGTAAGAGCAGCTCTTAGAGCAGAGTAGGATTTAATAACTTTATTCTGTTGTTAGTATGATTATTTTTCTCAAATAATTACCATTATCTACATAGATACTTGTATCCTAAAAATACCTTTTAAAAGAGTTCAATGACTTTTAAGTACACTGACACAAAAAATTTCTATATAAAAACAATTCTTCTAAACAATTTTAATAGAATCTGTATGTAAAAGTTAATGTTAAGCAAATTGTTTTAAGGAGGAGATACAAAGGACTATATATAAAACAGTTCAAGGTTTCATTTTTTTTTTTTTTCTTTAAGCAAGAAGCAGATTCAGAATATAATGGTTTTCTGTTGTTATTTGAAATTTGGATATGCACCTTTTGGGTTTTATTTTATTTCTCATATAAACACTGAGTACCAAATGGGTCTGAAACTTAAAGCCAAGGCTATGAATTTCATTTTTTTGTTCTTTGAAATATTTTCTACAAGAAAATTATACTTTAGTTTTAAACTTAACTTTTAGGTCTTATGTAGAATCCCTACCTCTTCTCTGCTTCTAAATCCTTCCATTACTATTCTTTCCCTTTATTCTGGCTGAAAAATATTTTTGATTTATATGTTTGAAAAATTATAGAATTCAATATAAAATTATATTGTGAGTGTGATAAAAATTAGAATGATGGATTTTCTGATTCTAGACGTATGTTTTAGTCTCAGACTCTCAGAAATGATGTAATTTACTAAGAAAATTATTAAAATTTATTGTAGTTGTAAGTGAAACTTACAAGTTTTTTGAGGTAAAGCTTTTTTTCCCCTGTGTATCATGTCCCTTCTGTTTAGAATGTGTATTTGCTTCTTTGTTATAACAGTGTTTTATGGGATGATGTTAATTTTAGACTCTTTTTATGATATTGTTGCTTGTGCTGTAATTCTGTATTGATTGAGATAATTAACAACACAATATTTCGGCTATAATAACACATTAGGATTAAATTTTATTTCACTCTCTGAACTATTGCATGTATACTTGAAAATATGCTAAAATGATTTAATAAGTAGCTATGGTACCTGTTGTCAAGCATGCACACAGGACAAGGGAAGGGCCAAGGCCTAGCCTGACTGATTGGTTGGTGAAGATATGAGTCACTTTTAGATTCAGACAGTTTATTAGTTATCTTTGATAAGAGAAGAGCAGTTATCCATCAGAACTAACTCCCTGTGGTCCTTGTCCCACACACCAAAAAGAATGACCAAAGCAATAGGGACTGGATAACTGCAGTCCAGGCTGTGGGATGCCCCATTGCTGAGAAGCCCATTTGAGACTTAACTAAGTGGTTTTGTGTTCTGCAGCTCTGTTCTGTGGGAGAGAAACTAGGAGTGGGATAGGATGCCTTACACCTTTTCAGAACCCTGGAGGCTGTGAGAAACTATCTTGTGACAGCCTAACAGAGGAGATAGGGAGGTGAGCAGGAGATGGTCTTTTAGCAGTTGCTTACAAGCCTTTCACCCTCTCATGTTCCAGGAGGAGCACAAGATGTACTACCAAGACTCAAATTAGCTGAGATTCAAGCCTTTGCCTTTGTGGCCTATGTAGACATGTGCAGAGTTGCCTGGGGATATGGTAAAGCTCTTTTTCTACACCTGGAGGCACAGGCCATTAAAATACTGAATTGAAATAATAGAAATGGAATTTGATTTTTTTTAAATAGAAATATTATATTTACAAGATTGCATTTCTGACTGGTTTCTGATGCTTAACATTGTCAATACAGTGTTTACTTAGTTGAAATGAAATACTTATATCTCGAATAAGAAAAAAACCATTCTAAAGTGTGCTAATGATAGCCAGTCATATGCACTTTTATTTAAAGTACATGGCCTGTAGTCTTAGCTGGATGGTGCTTAGATCTTCTGGAAAACTGAAGAAACCATGGGAAGATCTCAGTATAAGTCAGGTTTTCATATACCAGTACGTAATAGGCAAGCAACCTGACAAGTGATGTGGTTTGTATGTTCTTGACTTTAAATGCCCAAAACCATATGGGTAGGATCGGCAGAACACAGAAATTTTAACTTCTTTGTATTTCTTAGTATATTGATTTATCTGATAAACTGAATGACAGTCTGTAAGTCAGTGTGTATAAAAGTGAATGTTGCAGCTATTAGTGGAGGGAAAAAAAGATGAAAAGTAGGAAATATCAGGCTGCAATGCAGACATTAGGCCAAGTAACGTTTCAAGGAACTAGTAGTATTTTTGGGGGGTGGTGTGCATGTGTGTGCGAGTTCATAACAGCCAATGTAAACTATACTTGCTATTGTGCATTGTGACGCAAAATGTTTGAAATATTGCTGTACATGATTCTTGACTATTTTAAATCTCACTGAAGGTATGTGCTCAGTTTTAAAACCAAAATGTATTACTGAGTAGGTCTAACTGATTACTGGATTATGTAATAAGTTTATGAACAAATTTGCTGATATCTTTGCAGTTAGCTTCTGGAATTTATAGTTTTGCCTGCTCTCTGTGGAATCACCATACAGACACATTCCTTCAACAAGTTTCTTCTGGCAATGAAGCTACAGTTCTAAGTTCACTAGAGCGAACTCTACTGTCATTGAAAGGTATGGTTAAACTTGCCATGTTTATTTTTGAAACAACATGCCTTAGAACAGTCACCAGATAGTTCCTCTGGTTGGACTTTCTGTTCCCAGTTGCACTGGTGGAAAAGTAAGGGGTTAATATTTCTCTTAGACACAAGGGCTCTTGTAGTTTATTTTTCTTTTGTGAGAATAGCTTTTCCTCTACCCTGACTAATTTATGGAAGCACACATAGTTCAAATGGATAGTTTTAAGTTATATTCACGTTACTGGATTTCATGGCTCTGAATATATTCCTTTCAAAATACTTCCTCTTCTTTTTTGCTTCATTTCTCATTCTCAATCCATTATTGTCATGACGACTTTCCTAAACTTCTGTCCCCAAGGCTTAGTTGAACTCTGTCTCCTGGCTCTCTTTTCCTTGAAAACTCAGATTCCATCTTTCTTGTTTCAGCTCAGGCTCACTTGGATTTCAGAAGGTGCTTGATGGGGTACTATGTTGGCCTGTGTTTTCCTGTGTTTTGCCTGTAGGCATTCCCTTAACATATACCTCTATTTCACCTTCCTTGAACCGAATTTATCTTGATGAATGTATTCTGAGGTTCTTTTCCTTTCTAAAACATTCACAGTCATTTTATTTGTCATATTCTCTTTGTCTTCTTTCTGTTCTGGTTGCTAAAGCTCTTTTATCTTATGTTTCTTAGTTTGATCACAAGCAGTCTTTATTTCTCTCTTAGTATAGCTCATTTTGCATTCTCTGTTTTATTTATAAACTCTTTTATCTTACTCACCCTAGTACCTTAAAATGCCATCATACACTCTTGGCACTACTCTGATGCATCACTTACATAAACCAGACAGACAAATGCACACACTCCAAGCTGTCAGTACATCTTGGTGAGCCTTGTGGACAAACTTGAATTATTTTCAAGGACTGTTGACAAGGAAAATCCAGTCCATTGTACAGGTGGTTATACAAGTGAGTGGAGGTGGTTTTGTCAGCTTCTTGAGGAAGAAATTAAAAGGCTTAGAAATGCTTACTCTGAAAGAATTAGAGAAACTGATACAGGTTAGATACACAAAGCAGTATGTACTGTATTTAATGATTAAGGAATTTTCAGGAGTTCTTGTGATTGTAAAGTTTTCTTGTATTACTGATTTGAAAGCCTAAACCCTGACAGAAATGATACAACTTGACTCTGTATTAAGCTGCTTTAAGCTTTTCAGCAACTCAACATCTCAAGGTCTTACATACACATTAGCATTTCTAAGACATCCCTGACCTAGAAAAATCCCATAGCATTTCTCTTTAAAATACTTGTTCTGTCCAGCTATAAATTTCTATCCTTTTATAGCTTAAATACTTAGGACTAGAGCTTTTGCTACATGCAATCTTTGATTTTATATCTGCGTGCATTTAGTATCTTTTAGACATGCATATATTCATTATTTCATTCAACAAATTTATAGGTTCTTGGCACTGAGGAGACAGACATAATAGAATTATCACACAAATGTATGTACGTATAATGTTATGATAATTGATAATACTCCCAGAAAAGATTTTCCTGAGAAAGTGATGTTTGACCCAAAATCATAAAGGATAAGTAGAAGTTAACTAGGTGATAAAGGGAGAAAGAAGGGACCATCCCAGATAGTGTGGATCAAGATCCCGTGGTGGGAAAGAGCCTGTCCAGAATAAGAGACACAATGTGAACCCTGTTTTCTGCAATTATGTTGCAGTAATTGATAGTATGAAACTGAAGGTCTTTAGATGGTTGCATTCTAAACCTAGTTTTGATACACTGCCTTTAGACCACCTCATGAACGCTGATTTTATTTTTAGTGGAGATACTGGAGATTGAACCCAGGACCTCTTGCATGCTAAGCATGCTCTCTACCATTGAGCTATTACCCTCCCGATCAACAATAACTCTTTAGTTATATAGAAAGCAATGCTGTGGAGTGACTTTAAAATTTGTAGTTTTAAGCTGCCACCATCCTCTTTTTACTGAATTGTTCTGAGTGTTTTACATGCATTGTACTATTGAATCCTTTAATAACTTTACAAAGTAGGACTTATTAACCACAATTTATAGATGAGGAATATGAGATCTAGAAAGGGTGTCCAAAATAATAGCAGTTGTGGACGTTGGAGCTAGGATTTAAATTTAGATCTGACTTTAAATCTATTATCTTGCTTATCTCCTTGTGTACATAAGTTTACTTATAAAATGTGATGCTTGTAATTAAGAGCTGTAGTCTATTCCAGGTTTGAAAATACAGTTTAATCTTTATGTTCCTTTTAAAAGATACTGTATTTTCATTAATGTAGCCTATAACTGAATAAAGCTTTTTGGTTACTGTTGAGTCATAGTTTAAGGTTTATGGAACAGAGGTAACCTTCTCACTTTCAGAATACAGTGGCTATTCCAAGTGAGAAGTAATAAAAATTATGTAAATTAAACTAAAATATGAAACATGAGTGGTTATAAGTGAGAAGAACTGCTTTTGAGTCACAAGAACTTGGCTTTAGTTCAATCTTTCCCATTTAGTAACCAACCAATTACCAGGAGTTACCTTTCTTTATCTATTAAATGAAAGAATTAAGCTAGATTAACCTCTAAGCCTGATGAAGCTTTATGATTCTGAGTCTTTGTTATGATTATGATTTTAATAGGAAAAACATGAAAAAGATGTAAGTAAAGCTTGATTTTACTTTTCAGTGCTGCGTAAGTTAACTGTTAATGGATTTGTAGAACCACATAAGAATATGGAAGTGATGGTAAGTGAAAAAAGTCTTTTACTTTTTTATAATGTTGGGAAAGTGCTTAATATTATCCTAAGTGTTATAAAGCTTATTCTTTTTACTTGGTATTCATTTAAAAGTTTTTATACAATGACCATCTAGTTTTTTTACTGTCTGTATATACTGTTCTACACTTTTAGACATGTGTTCTATTTTCACTACATCAAAGCAGCTCTTGTGTGAAGGAGAGGAAATAGGCCTAGGATAGTTCTCAAGATACCTAGGTACATTGAGAATGTTAATTTGAATTTGAATTCAAGTGAGCTCTTGTGAATTTGAATGCTGTTACAACATTACCAGGGTCAGTGTAGACAGAATGATACCCTTGGTATTTTCCTTTGTCTGTTTTTGTATACTTAAAAGGAGATTCCCACCCCCCGACCCCACCCCATGGATCATAACATTTATACATACTCTGCAATCGATTTTAAGAAATAATACACAATACGGGAAAACTCCATTGATAAGCACAAGTTGTGATGTTTACTCATTTTTGGTATAGTGTCATATACTTTTCCTATATGCAGAAATACATAGCTGCATATATTTTACTCCAAAACAAAATATGATTGTATTATTGTATATATGTATTGAGTACTACATGTGTGTACTCAAATCTATATTAGTTTTCACAGTGAGCTTAGGTCAGCTGAAGTGTTACTTTCTGTGGATTGCTTTGGGGACTGCATAGGAATTATAGGACAAGTATATCTAATTGGGTCTTTAGGTCTGTCCTACTAGATTTGGCCACAGCTGCACTTAAAAAAAAAATCTTTAGTGTTATGTCTGTAAAATTTTGATTGAAATAATGGTTCTATTGTTAAAAGAATTAAAAAACTGCTAGTGTACATCATTATAAGGCAAAGACTTTTTTTCTATAAAAGTGTTTCATACTTTTTTTAAGTTAAAAAACAGAAAAGGAAATAAAAAGTTATTTAAAAACTTACAGAAATATTGCTAACATTTGTAAATATCCTTTAGGACATCTTAATGCTTATTCTTTAAGGCATACTTTCTCTCTTCAGTTTTGTATAAATGAGATCTACATGCTGTTTCCTTACTTGCTTTTTCTTTTTTAAAGTTTTTTATTGAAGTGTAGTTTATATACAATGTTAGTTTCATGTGTGCAGCAAAGGGATTCAGTTATATACATACATACATATTTTTTTCTTTTCAGATTCTTTTCCATTATGTTTTATTATAAGAAGTTGAATATAATTCCCTTATATAGTAGGTCCTTGTTTATTTTATATATAGTAACATGTGTCTGTTAATTCCCAACCCCTAATTTATCCCTCCCCGCCCTCTCCCCTTTGGTAACCATAAGTTTGTTTTCTGTGTTGGTGAGTCTGTTTTTGTTTGTAAGTAGAATTTGTATTTTTTAAACACCTTTAATATGGTATGAAACTGCATATGTTTCAGATGTACAATTTGATGAATTTTGATAGATGTATACACTAATGAAACCACCACCACCACAATCAAGATAGCTAACATTTCCATCACTCCCCAAGAGGTGCAAGATTTCGAATTCCCAATTTATCCCTTCCCACCCCCTTTTTCCCTCTGGTAACCATAAGTTTGTTCTCTGTATCTGTGAGTTTATTTCTGTTTTGTAGATAAGTTCATTTGTGTCCTTTTTTTTAGATTCCACATGTAAGCCATATCATATGATATTTTTCTTTTTCTTTCTGACTTCACTTAAAATGACAATGTCCAGGTCCATCCATGTTGCTACAAATGGCATTATTTAATTCTTTTTTATGTTTGATTCATATTCCATTGTATGTATATACCTCATCTTCTTTATCTAGTCATCTGTTGATGGACATTTAGGTTGTTTCTATGTCTTGGCTGTTGTAAATAGTGCTGCTCTGAACATTGGGGTGCATGTGTCTTTTCGAACTATAGTTTTCTCTCGATATAAGCCCAGGAGTGGGATTGCTGGGTCATGTGGTAAGTCTACTTTTAGTTTTGTAAGGAACCTCCATACAGTCCTCCATAGGGGCTGCACTAATTTACATTCCCACCAATAGCATAGGAGGGTTCCTTTTTCTTCCACACTCTCTCCATTATTTATTATTTGAAGACTTTTTAATGATGGCTCTTCTGACTGATGTGAGTGATACCTCATGATAGTTTTGGTTTGCGTTTCTCTTATAGTTAGCGATATTGAGCATCTTTTCATGTGCCTGTTGGCCATCAGGATGTCTT